AAAAACCTATGCAGTGAGGTGGCAGGCCGGGAATTTTTGCTACTTGCACGGAGAATCTGTTTTTTGGCCACTTTTTGCTTAAATTTGCGTGTTACTTGCCAAATTTGTTCAAGTGTACAAAATGTATTATCTCCACCAAATAAACAAAATTCAAAGACTATAAATATAACTTAAGCGGCCTCAATGTGGTATCTTTCGGCTTACATCAACACATAGTTTAGTTTTGCACAAAAAATAATTTAGTTTTTTTCAAAAAAAAAAAAAAATTAAATGTAATTTTTTATTTTTTTTTTTTTTTTTTTTTTGCACATAATTTTTTGTAAAAAGTTTTTTCAATTTGAAAGTTGATATTTTAAAGTTGTGAAAATCAAAACAAATATCAAATCATCATATTCCTTTATAGATAATCATAAATAATGAACAATCATTGTTTGAAAGGCAATTCTGACTATTAAAAATTTAATGAGACTTGAAAGTCTAAAAAATCTTAATTATAGAGTATAAGTTCATAAATTAAAACTTGTGTATAAATGTCCTATAAATTTTCATAAATTACCTAACAAAGATGAGTCACCATAGTCCTACCTGTAAAATTTTCACTACGTAATTAGTTAAGAACATTATTAGTGATACGATATTTTAAAACTACTGAATAATTATCGAGTTAAGTTAATGATTTATGAGATCATCAAGCAATATGATTTTAGAACAAGAACAAAGGAAGAATTAATCATTGTAATAAGTATTTTTGAGGACTTGGAAAAAAAAGTAGACAGCTGGTTGGTTAATTAGGTTGATGACAAACTCAATCTTTGTGCTTTGGTCAGCTTAATTGAATTGAATCCCAAATATACGGTGAGTCAGTCACCCTAACTTGGATATTCAACTTTTAACACACAAAACACTAACTTTTGGTAGAAAATGTGTAGACGAAGAATTAAGTTAGGCAAAGTTTTAAAAAAGTTATTTTAGAATCAAACTTGGAGGCCTTTGAAGACTTTTAACCCAAAAAAATAAAATAAAATAAAATAAAAAAATTGATGACAACTAATGGAGAAGAAACATACAAGAGAGATGCCAACAGGTCAACTCTTAAAAAAAAAGGATAAATTAAATTATTGGTCTTTATAGTTTTAGTAAAATTTCACTCTTATCCCCATAATTTTAATTTCATCATTTTTATTTCCACTTTCATTTTCATTTTAATGTACTCTCTCTATTGTTATCAGTTAGGAGCTTTGTCACAGTTACAAATTAAATTACCAACTATTTTACAAAAAACTCACACGTAAGGAGTTGATAAAATAATTGATAATTTAGTTTGTACCTCTATTTGTTTTTGTTTTGTATATCATGCCCCCAAAAATTGGTAAGTAGGCTCATATTTTGTGTGGTAAATAAGTGGTGTTTTAGGAACAAGCTAAAAAAACTCACTTTTTAATTTTTTAGCTTTTTTATACAAAAAAAAATTACAAAAGAGTCATAAAAAGCCAATTTTTTTACACAAAAAGTCAAAAAATTAATTTTTAACTAATTTTTCAAAATATCCCTACAAGTAATTTCAGTAATAATAATTTTGGTCAATTTTCGACTCGAACAACCAGTTATCAAAACAAAACAAAAAAATTCAATAGTAAATAGAAGTTCACCTTGTGGGGGTAAGCAAGTTCAATTTAGCTGTAAGTAAAGTCACATGATGTGATAAGTATGATTAGCTTTTCCATAAGTAAAAACTACTTTTGGGTTGGGGAAACTATCTTATTTTTGGACTTGATTTTAATCGTAACCAATCATATCCAAATCTACCATTTAGGATTTCTTTTTGAGTATGGCACCCGAATGTTATGTTTAGTTAGAAGATTTAGAAAGAAAAATGAAAACGATAGGTAAAATATGAATGAAATATACTTACATTTCACATAATTTTACACACATTTTCTCTTTTTTTTTTTTCCAAATCTCTTCTCAAATCTCTCACCCAAACACAGCAGAAATATTAGACAAAATGAGCATATTGAAAGGAAAATAAAAAGAGAGACTTATTTGTAAGTCCTATTTCAGACACTTATGCTATGTTAAGTCCTGTGTAATTTCTTATAGAGTCTCAAGTCCTATTTAGATAAGAATGTATTTCACAAGATTTTATTTGCGAAACGTAACGTGACACGTTACGTTACATTTACGCAAGTATCACGTTACGTTACGTTTATATAGGTATCACGTCACGTTACGTTTATGTAATGTCCCATATGATATGATCACGTTACGTTACATTTATGTAGATGTCACGTTACGTTTCGCAAACTTAATCTATGGTAACATTCAATTTTCTATATAGGAAATTGAATGTTACATACGTTACATTTATGTAGGCGTCACATTACGTTTCGCAAACTTAATCTATGGTAACATTCAATTTCTTATATAGAAAATTGAATGTTACTATAGATCATATCCATATGAATGTGAATGTGAATTTCAAAATACACGAACAAGTAACATTTTCACATTCAATTTAAAAAATTAAAAGCCTAGTAAGTTTGTGAAACGGAACGTGACACGTTACGTTACGTTTATGTAACGTCCCATTTGATATGGTCACGTTACGTTACGTTTCTGTAAATGTCATGTTACGTTTCGCAATCTTAATCTATAGTAACATTCAATTTCCTATATATGGTTTTACCATTGTTTATGATATTAACAACTAATATTGAGGGTAAATGTGTCAACAAACTTTACACAGCACTTATGGGAACATAAATTTTTTCGTAAGATCATATGTAGCATAAGTCTCCCTAATAGGACTTATAAATCATTTTTCCAAATAAAAATGTAACATTTAAATTGACAAAACTGAAATTATAGCCGTCAAAGTGAAATACAGTAAAAACTATACACCACAAATAAAAAATGAGAAGAAGAAGACGACTAAAAAGACGGGAAACAACTAGTAATAATTGATATAAGAGGTCTTCCTCGGCCTCGGGAAATAAGCAGAAAATTGGGGGACCAATTGAGAAAAAACTATTAATAATCGGGTCTTTGACGTAAAAAGCAGGGAATATAAACCGGACTTACCAGATGAACACCTCATTCATTCCTATATTGAAACCACTCAAGTTTAATTAATTAATTATATGATAAAAATAATAATAACAAGGTGGTCCTGAATTATTAAAGTTTAGTTCAATGGGCATATATTAGATGGTAGCTTAAAATTTTTCTATCTCCAATGACACCCCACTCTTCGATAGATCAATTTTTTTTAAGGGTCTAGAATTTTTAAATTACCTTCTAACCACTAAGAAAAAAAAATTAAAAAAACCTTGTCTAAAACCTAATAAATTTTTTTTCCTCAAATAAAAAGAGAAAATAAATATTTCTCCTCCAATGGCCTCAAAAGAAACATGTATTGTCTAAAGGCCCCTAATAGAAAAATCAAAAAAATTCCCTGTCAAAGGCTCTGGATGGTAAAAGCTTAAAAGAACACTCCTTATCCGAAATGCCCAATAAAAAACAAAATTTCCTTATCAAAGACTTATTTATTTATTTATTATTATCATAAAACAAAAAAGAAAAGCCTTTCTTATCCAAAAGCTTCTAATAGCAAAGGTTATGAATAATCCAAATTTTAATTACAAAATTAAGAAAATAAAGAAAAAATTAGTGATAAATCTAAAGTGGAGAGCATATGAAAATACAAGTTTATTGTGCTTATTAGGTAAAAATGACAAATTCAATGATTCTGATATAGTCAACAAAAGGTTAAAAAATTACTATCCTCGCCAACACACACTAGTCAAATTGTCGCTACCTTTCACAGCCATCGTGTTTGTTAGGTTATGGGGCCAAGCAATCCATTCTTGTAAGCTCTACGAACTAAGTGTTGATAGTAGATTGATCATCACAATTACAAGTTTAGATATAAATTGAAATTCTCCTCAACACCAATTAATTTTAGATGAACTTCAACGGTGAATTGACCGTTCATGAACAGAAATTTAAGTACAAACCTGAAATCTTTCATAATATCAATTGATTTTAGGTGAACTAGTGTTAATGTTGAAATGATGCTAATGTTTTTGCTACATCACTATTAATGTTGGATTGAGGGTCCCCAACTAGGTGAGAGAGTACTTCATGCCTCAACATGCAAGTTGGTAGAGAATTTAATCAAATTGTACTTGTGAACTCTGAATCTGCGTACAGTACAGATGAGTTGGTTACAATGCAAGTTCTCAGACCACCATTGATTTCTTAAAAGACAAAGTTTTAATTACCATGTGCAAATGTTGGAGACTGTTCATTCACATCAATATGAGGAAGGTAATTGTAAAAAAAATTATTAGGTGCAAATAAAATATCATGAAGCAATATCGTGTGTTACATTCCATCAATCACAAACACTACGTGTTCATGTTGATGGACATTATTGTTTAAATCAATTATAATGAAAAAAGGCACCACCTGATAATACCCTTAATATCATGTAATAATTGCTCTTTTTTCAGATATCGCTCTAATAACAGTCCCGCACACATTATCACTTTTTTAATATGGGAATGACATCTGGAAATTTTGACAGGATCATTCTACAATGTCTTCCCAAATTTAGTTAAAACACAACTACTACTACTGTTAAGTACTAACAAAATCATGTAGTCCTCTTCCCCTGCTTTCAATATTTAACCTCTCTTTTTTGGGGGGGGTGATTTTCTGTATTTTAATTGCGCACATAAATATTTTGAAAATCTCTACATTACATCATACATACATGCAAATACAGAGAAAATGATAGTTACATGTATATGGACTATACCTTCATTTTGTCCTTTTAATGGCCTAAAGTGATCTTTCTTGGAATCTTTACCAAAGGCAAATATTGCAACAAATCTCCACTGTACTCTTCCAAAATCCCAGAAGTTTCATTTGAGTTATCTTCAAATTACTCTCATTTAAATTTTTTTTTAAAAATCTAAAATTTTGCAACAAAAAAAACAATATCAAACCATACAAATGTCGGTGTTCTATTGTCAAGTAGGCATGATTTTATTGATCAATATGTCTATTCTGCAAATTTGATTGCAGGCACAATTGTCACAATATGCCAGAAGAGTCCCATTTTGGAAAGTGAAAAATAAAATCTGCACTAAAAATTTCATAAAATGAAGAAAAAGAACCAAAATCAAACAGTGACCAAAAGTATGTTCATGGGGTCTTACAGGCGTAGATCAAGAGAGAGAATTCAAGCTTTTCTTGCTCTTTCTGCACCAATTTCTCCTCCAACAACCACAACCTACTCTCCATCCCTCTCCTCGTCCTGAACATGAACACCGCGAACCCAGAAGAAGCCGGGTTATTAAAAAACCAATCATGAACATCCCACATCAGATCAATTAGCAACCCGTCAACAAATATGGTCTGGTTTCCTCTAAAATTCCATTGCAGCCTCTTCACACGAATCACCGGCTTTTTATCAACACAAACTGATAAAACAGGACTCTTTAGCCCCTCATTTTCGCCGCTGCAACGTATCAGAATGTCGTGTGCATCCCCAGAATCGCTGAACCGAGCCTTAGTGGAATAAAGGGTATTGCCAGAGAAGTGTTCGCGACGTGATATTAATGAAGATTTGGCTAATTTAGTCCCGGATTTGAGTCTTTTCATGACAGCTTCGTCCGAGATGGTTGTTCCAAGAACTAGGCCTAGTTCTGAATCAATCATGAGTAAAACATAGTACCCATCAATTGGTTCAGGCCCATTGGTGCTGTACTTGGCTGCTGAGAAATCCCAGAAGATTTCAAACTTGGAATTGTCGAATTCGATATATTTGTGTCCCTTTTTCTTCTTCCTGAGAAGTTTGGAATTTGTGTTGAGTTTGAATGATGATGAGTGGTTGTTGTTTTCTTCTCCAAAGTTTATGGTTAGGCCTTGATTGGTTGTGGTGTTCTTGGACCAAGTGGCTGTGATCAAAAAGTTCTTTTTAGTGGAGAGAAAGATTTTGTAGAGAGATGTGATTGAGTTTTGGATTGAAGGTATGGGATTGGGAGAGATACAAGAATGGTTTGTAATTGAGTGGCTAGAACATGAAGCATCTGATACTTGTATTGCATATTCACTAAAACAGGATGCCATGTCTCTCACTGTGGAGAGAGAGAGAGAGAGAGAATTGACGGCAAGAAAAGGGCTAATAATTTTCTATAGAGGAAGATAGAAATGAATTTTCTCAGCTTAAATTTTGCATCTAATGAGAAAGGAAAGGAAAGAATAGAAGGACATTGCTTTGTTTCTGTACTGGTTCTTGACAGTTCATCTGAGATATTAAGAATTGGAGAAAAGGAAAATATATATAAATATTAGATACCTTAATATAAAATTTAACGATGTTGGACCAAGTCTGAAAGTATTAATACTGTCAAATTAATATTTGGGATAACTGATTAATCAAAAGAACAAAAACCTATATGAATCTTGAAATTGTTACCATATGAATTGCACAAAATGATAATTGGCAATGGTTAAAAAGAAAAGGTGGCTAAATTACACTTTTCACCCTAGTTAGTGTTTATTATTTTAATTTGAATAGTACTGACCCTAGAACTCAAGTCTAATTTTAATTTAGCCATGCCATCCGAATTGCCGTCAATTTTTCCTACCTACATTGCTCATGTGAGCGTGAATTTAAATGCCCAATTAGAACAAAAAGACCAAAGTAAAACTCCACTTAAAGTTTAGGGCTAATATTATTCAAATTAAAAAAAAAAATTAAGTTAAATTAAATTACAAAAGTTAAAAGTATAATTTACTCAACAATCAACTAGAGATATTTATATAATATCAAAAGATTGATCGGATAAATGGAACACTCTGTTAAAAAGTATGATACTTGAATTTGAGTCTTATTGTTATGTGATGCTACCCTTTCACCTAGTCTCAATCCTACCTTATGTTAAAAAAATAAAAAATAATTTAGGTAATGAGGATGGATGAATTTTAAATAGAGCAGTTGGTCAGTAATTTATATAATTATTTCTTCAAACAATGAAAATGTTAGATGTTCAGGATTTAAGCCAATCAAATAATTACGAATCTTTCATTATAATATAATTTACCAATTCACTGACATTCTATTATTTTAAAAAATATTAAATAAGTAATTAGAGAATGGGATGAATTTCATGGTCATATTTTCACAGTGAAGGAGGTGATATGGGTATTGAGATGATTATGATAGTGAGTGATGAGACCCCACAAAAATAAAACCAGTTTGTTGACCCACCAACTAAAAGCAAGGGAATAATGTGAGACACAAGCTTTTTTTTCTTTTATCCCTCTTTTTATCATATTATCATAAACATTAAATTAAAATGATATGAATAACTTTTTTGAAGGGGTAAACAATAAATTAAAAACAAAAAAACAAAAAACTATGATATGGTTACAGTTGGGAAGAGGGAGGGAGAGCACTAAATTTCTGTTGTAAATTTTAGTTTCCTGATGTAACAACTTGAAAATTTAAGTTGTCTCTTAAATTTTATACTAGTATAATGATTGTATATGATGAAATATTATTAAAAAAATAAATAAATAACAATAATAATAATAATAATAATAATAATAATGGATGTTGTAGTAAAATAAATAATTAATTTTCTATTGGTATACGATAGACTGTAATTTAATTAGGGATTAGTTTGTATTTTTATCAAACGAAAGGGGAATATAATTATTTGAAAGAATTGGAGTCAAAATATAATTACCTCAAGTTAATAAGATAACTATAGATCTAAAAAGATTTCAATCCAAATCTAAGAAAGATTGTTGTGGACACGTGGAGGGTAATGGAAAGGCCTGCCTCCCTATAAATTGGGAGGAGATCAAGATCTCCAATGGTTGTGTCTTTTGAGTTGGAAATGTGTGTCCTTTTGAAGGGTCACAACTTTTTCAAAGAGTCTCATAGGAGTCTATAAATTCCATCTCCCTCACTCCAATTAAAGAAAGATTTAGTCATTTTCTTCTTTATCTTTGCATTGATTTTTCATATTTTCTTGAGTCTAATTTTTCTATAAAGAGAGTATATGCACAACAAAATTCGCTAGGTTTGCAATAGTAGTGCTGCTAGTGCAAGACATTGATCGTTGTATCTTGGGCAGGGTTGACAATTGGAACTTGGCTCGACAGGGACCTGATCCTTCGTCCCCAATTAGAATGGTTTTTTCTTGAAAAATACTCCCCACGGGCCGGGGATGGTATTTGAAATTGAATCCCTGATCAAATTCGGGCCGGAGACGGAGATAGCTTTCACAGGCCCGGACCCGGCCCAGCCCCGTCCCCGGCCCCAACCCCGTTTCTCCCCGACATAAAATTACTATAATGCCCCTCTATCTATTCATATATATATATATATATATATATATAATAATATAACCCTCATATGTTTCTCTTTCTTCTCTATCTCTCACTCTCTCTCTTTGCCCTCTACTCTCTCTCACTCCGCAGTGGCGACGACTCTCTCTCACTCTCTTTTCTCTCCGCAGTCGACGAAAGCTCACTCACACTCTCTCTTCTCTCTGCCGTCGGTGATGGCGTCGTCTTCTCCTCCGCGGCAGTACGCAGTCTCCCGTCGCCTCCTCATTCTTCGTCGCCTCCTCCTCCTCCACACCACTGCCGAACCTTCATACACGGCAGATCTGAGCAGATCTGTGTATGTATACATATATGTGTGTGTGTGTGTCTATCTATCTCGATTTGTCTCTTTTTATTTATTTATTTTTTTTTTGATGCTGTTGTTGTTGATGAAAATGATGTTGTTGTTAATGATGTTGCCGTTGATGATGTTGCTGTTGATGAAAATATGTTGTTGTTGATGATTTATGATTGAGAGAGAAAGCTAAACGGAGAGACAGAGAGCTGTAGGGATTTTCTAGGGTCTGGGAAACTCGATCCCCGTTAGGGGGCGGGGGCGGGGGGGATGATGGGTTCCCCGTCGGGGATCGGGAGTGGGGACGGGGATGGGAAATTTTGTAGTGTCAGGGATAAGGGACGGGGAGTGATCCCCGGCCCTGGCCCGTCCCGTTGCCATTCCTAACCTTGGGTTACCATGATATATTTTGTAAGTTATATTAATATTTTAACTACGCAGATTAATTTTTGAACTCTATTTGTTTAAAATGAAACTCATGGATATATTTGTTTAAATTTTAAAGAATATTTGATTATGACCTTATAAACAATTATGTTTTGTAAGTACCACCACGGGAGTCTCATGCCTTGGGGGACTTAAATAACCATCGGCTTCAGTCACTTTGTGGCCCTCTATTGTCATGAATCTATTAACCTCTGTTCTGTGCGGAGCAAAGTGCTATGTGGAGATAAGTGCTACACTGTTGTGGAAGTCACCTCTATAATCCATACGAGCCACCTATTGAATCCGTACCTCTGTTTTAACTGTCACTCCTATGACATCTCTTCTCCTTTGTTCGGTACTGTGGTTATGGTTATTTATTTACATAATCTCAGTTTTGCTACTTAAATGATTATTTGTTCAGACTAAGTTATCTTAAATATTTTAGTTACATAACTATCCATGATTATTTTGTGTCCCTTATACTCTTAGCATAATATTTCTCACTCTGCCATGTGTTTATACCTATTTACCAATTTTCAGGAAACAATGCAATTCAAAAATAGCTTTTGGGAAGTCTTAGATGCGGGGCTGCAGAATAGACACACACAGCACTTTTATGGATATGTTTATATGTAAACATCGGTATGTTTTGTCAATAAATTTTGTTATGCTTCTGTTTAGTCACTTTGTGGCCCTCTATTGTCATGGATCTATTAACCTCTGTTCTGTGCGGAGCAAAGTGCTATGCGGAGATAAGTGCTACACTGTTGTGGAAGTCACCTCTATAATCCATACGAGTCACCTATTGAATCCGTACCTCTGTTCTAACTGTCACTCCTGTGACATCTGTTATGTTCTGTTCGGTATCGTGGTTATGGTTATTTATCTACATAATCTCAATTTTGCTACTTAAATAATTATTTGTTCAGACTAAGTTATCTTAAATATTTTAGTTACATAACTATCCATGATTATTTTGTGTCCCTTATACTCTTAGCATAATATTTCTCACTCTGCCATGTGTTTATACCTATTTACCAATTTTCAGGAAACAATGCAATTCAAAAATAGCTTTTGGGAAGTCTTAGATGCGGGGCTGCAGAATAGACACACACAGCACTTTTATGGATATGTTTATATGTAAACATCGGTATGTTTTGTCAATAAATTTTGTTATAAAAATAGAAACTCCAATGATTATTTTGGTACTCTCACTTGAATATTATTTCCGCTTGCGTTTATTAATTTGTTTAAGAATTGACCGGAAATAATCTCAATTACTAACTATCACGATACTTAACCCTTAAGTATGGAGAGGATGTGGTTACACATGAGGCCATAGTTCCCCCTCCCCCAACTTCTCTCCATTTCCTCTTTTCACAAAAGATTAAAATAATCAATATCTAAATATTTCATTCTATATTTTATAGCATAAAGTTAATTAAAGAAAAAAGCTATGCTCTTTAAGGATTAAAGCTGCATGAAGAGGCAAGGGGGGCGGGGGGGAAAATTTAAAAAAAATGACTTTACAAAGCTGAAAAGATGATTAAAAGCAGAGAACAAATAAAAAATATATATTGTGATATACGCTGTACACTTTTTTTTTTGGAGGTCATCCCCTATACAAAAGTGGGATTTGAGATTGTGCTTATATTAGAGGAATTTGTCGATGTAAATCTTAAGGTATATATTATTGTCTTCACAACAGTCGTATCATACTCCTTTTTTTTTTTTCCTTTTCTCTTTTAATACATTGATGAAATTGCTGTAGACTATGGACATAAACATTCTAGTCAAACTATGTACATTTGTATATCGCGTTTTTTTATTTGTAATGGACGTTTTTTATTGCCAAACAATATAGAACATGCAAGGTGTAATGTCATTATTACACTTTTTAATCACACACTTGCCCTATCGAAGTTGGAGAAATGTATGTTTGAATGAGGAGTGCATAGAAGATGGGGAATCTGTCACCAAAAACAACTGAATATGAGAGAGAGAGAGAGAGAGAGAGAGAGAGAGAGAGAGAATTGTGAATAAATAAGGGGGGTAGAGATGATGAGGAGGCTCCCTTTTGGGGGGGGTTTGGACCCCAGATGGTCTGGTCCTTGGGCATGTCCTCCCCCAATATGGGCAAGCAGACAACTCATTTAGTTAATCTCAGAATCACTACATCTCCTCTTCAATGTCAAAAGTTTAAAAATT